AATTCAATTCTATACAATTAATTTAGTTTCTTTTAATTACAGGTGATTCTGTACAGGGAATTAATAAAAGGTTAATTTTCCATGTCAATGGCATTATAGAGATTAGCAACTAATTGGATTTGAGAGATAAGAGTGAGGAGTAGAGGATGACTCTGAGATTGTGAACTTGGGTGACTAGAAGGACAGTGGTACCCTCCAGTAAGGGGAAGTTTATTAGAGACAAGTGTTTTAGGGAAAAGATAATAAATTCTGTTTTGGATACAATGACTATGAGATATCTAGTTTGAAATATCCAATAGGAAGCTGACAGAATTCAGGAGAGAGTACAGCTGGACATACAGACGTAGGAGTCATCTGCATGGAGATGATCATTGAACATGGAGGAATTGATAATATCACCAAGTGAGAGCAGATAGAGAGTAAAGGGAAAAGGGTTAAGGACAATGTCTTGAGGGACACTCCATTTAGGGGTGTAAGAGATGAAGTACTCGACTGAGAAGGAAGAGGCGGACAGACAGAAGAGGAATCAAGAGAGTTCAGCGCCACATAAAGCAAGGAAGAAGAAATGGAAGGAGAGGGTGGTCAACAGTGTCAAATGCAGCAGAGGTCAAAAAGTATCATTTGATTGAACAGTTAGAAGAGTGTCAGTAACTATGAAGAGAGCAGTTTCAGCTGAATGATAAGGTCAGAAGTCAGAACAAAGAGAGTTAATGGGAAGACTCGAATATGTTTGTAAAAAGGGAAGCAGTCAATAAATTGGGAGAGATTGAAGATTAAAAAGAGTGTGAGTGATGGCTGGGACAATTCCCTAGAGAAGAGAGTACAGCATCAAGGGTATATGCAGTTTAGTTGTCCTAGCACACAGAAAGGGTACCAACTCATCAGAGACTAGAAGGAGAAAACAATGGAAGGTGATGTCAGAGAGATATGGGATCAGAAGAAAGGGAAAAGAGGGAGCTCTTAATGAACAGCCTGATCTTGGCAAATGGCTTCTACTTTTTTTTGGTGTAGAGGCAAGAGAGTAGGGAGAAGGAGTGGCAAGGGAGGCTTGAGGAGAGAAGAAAAGGTTTGGAACAGCTGCAGGGAATCAATTAAGGAGTAGCAGGACTGTATTACTGCAGTAAGGGGATAGTTGAGATTAGTCAGCATAAATTTGTAGTGGCCCTAGTCAGCAGTTTCATGACTTCTAGTTCTGTCCAGCAGCATGTGAGTAGGAATGAAGAAGGTGGATGGTGGGAATAATTCAAAGTTGGATTTTGACAAGGCAAGATAAAAATAAGGACAAAAGAACAAGGGATTATAGAACAGAGGATAGTCTAATGTCCAAGTGATTCACCAGGGGGTCAAGGATTGTTTTTAGACCTGGAAGGGACCTTAACCACTAATGTAACTCCTTTGACAGATGAGGAAACTGAGGCCTCAAGAAGTGACTTGTCTATAGTAACATAAACAGTAAGCAGCAAAGCTGATATCTGAACTCAGGACTCTAACTACAACCCTATACTCTTTCCACAATATTCTACTGCTGAAATCTTCACTGCAGTATTGTACCTTACTACATTGACCTTGAGAACATACAGTAAAAACTCTCTGAGGGGCAGCTAGGTGGCATAGTGGATAGAATTCCGGCCTTGGAGTCAGGAGCACCTAAGTTCAAATCTGGCCTTAGACACTTGACACTTTCTAGCTGTGTGACTGACCCTGGGCAAGTCACTTCACCCCAACTGCCTCACTAAAAAGCAAAACAAAACCAAAAAAAAACCCAAACAAACCCTCTTTTCTGGTTATAGTTTAGTTAACTAAGAACCTAATCCTAAGTACAGAGAAAGATCAGTACTTTTCATGAATAACACCAAGATGCAAATTAACGATCAAAGTGGAGAGCAGCAGACAAGAGTGTCTCTGGCTCAGTGGTAGTGAGAAGGAAAAACTATTAATCATCATCTGTCCTAAAATTCCCTTCATTATTGTAGATAATTGACTGATGGCTTCGATATTCAATACAATAAAAAAATTAACGAGAAAGTAAAATGAGAGGTTAATGAGGACATATTTCACTCAGAAGTGACTAATAAATCCCACGATCTGTACCTCCTTTTATGTGAAATAAATAATAAACTCTTGTTTTATGAGTTATATAAGAGATGGAATTTCTGGCAGCAAAGAATGAGTAGCAATCAGGTTAAAAGCTGAAGTGATGAAGCATTTTATAATTGTGTTGTTTATTTCTCCATGTACTCTGATGTCACAAACATCATTTCTATCATAGGACAAGATAAAAATAAGATAACAGCATCTGTCACATCTATGGCACCTTTTCATCTATACGTTTCAAAAGGATTCATTAAATCCTAACACCCCAGTGAGCCGACCTAGTGGGGACAAACTGAGGCAGAGGTGATGAGTAACCTAAGGTTTCCCAATAAATTAATACTATATATGGAAACAGCCAATGCTTTCTGGTTCTCATTCCTGGAACCAGGCATAAATCATAACTAAAACTACAAAATGTTTCTTCTCTTAAAATGGTCTGACAAAATCACATAATTTATGATTTGCAGTTAACAAATGTCTAGAACACACTTACATGAAATATCAAGTAAGAAGATAATTTAGAAATAAAGATTTGTTTTAGGTTTCTGCTACATGAAAAATAACAATTGTATCGACTCAGTCTCTTTCTTTCTTTTTAATCATATTAGTCATTCTGTGAAAGCAGACCCAAAGGAAAAAAAAATACAGAAAGTGAACAATATACTTTGATCTACATTCAGACTCCATCAGTTCTTTCTCAGGAGGAAGATAGCTTATCAGCAGTGTTTTGGAATTGTCTTTGATCACTATATTGCTGAGAATAGTTTAGTTATTCACAGTTGATTATCATACAGTATTATTGTTACTATACACAGCATTCTCCTGTTCTACTCACTTTACTTTGCATCAGTTCATATAAATCTTTCCAGCCTGCTCATTATTTCTTCTAGCATAGTAATATTCCATTATAATAACATACCATAACTTGTTCAGCCATTCCCCAAATGATGGGCATCCCCTCAATTTCCAATTTTTTGCCACTACAAAAAGAGCTGCTATAAATATTTTTATACAAATAGTCTGCCCCCCCACCCCCGCCTTTATCTCTTTGGAATACAGACCTAAAAGTGGTATAGTTGGGGTAAAAGGTATGTATAGTTTCATAGCCCTTTGGACATAGTTCCAAATTGCTCTCCAGAATCAGTTCACAACTCCACCAACAGTGCCTTGGTGTTCCAATATTCCCACATCCCCAACACTTATTTTCCTTTTCTGTTATATTAGCTAATCTGATAGATGTGAGGTGACACCTCAGAGTTGTTTTAATTTGCAATTCTCTAATCAACAGTGATTTAGAACATTTTTTCATATGACTATAGATAGCTTTCATTTCTTTGCCTGAAAACTGCCTGTTCACATCCTTTGACCATATATCAATTGTGGAATGACTTATATTCTTACAAATTTGACTCAGTTCTCTACATATTTGGGAAATGAGGCCTTTGTCAGAGATACTTCCTGTAAAAATTATTTCCCAGCTTTCTGCTTTCCTTCTACTCTTGGTTGCATTCGTTTTGTTTGTGAAAAACTTTTTAAATTTAATATAATCAAATTGCGTATTTTACATCTAGTAAAGCTCTCTATCTCTTATTTGGTCATAAATTCTTCCCTATTCCATAGATTTGGCAGATTTAAGCATTTATTTATTTGAAAAATATTCATTTATTTGACAGATTTATTTGATATTTACTTATTTGACAGATATAAGCATTATGGCATTACCCTTTATGTTTAAATCATGTACCCATTTTGTTCTTATCTTGGTCTAAGATATTGGTCTATACTCTATGCCTAGTTTCATTTTCCAGTTTCCCCAGAAGTTTTTGTCAAATGGTGAGTTCTTGTCCCAAAAGCTGGGGTCTTTGGGTTCATCAAACACTAGATTACTATGGTCATTTACTACTGATTGAGTTTCAATAAGGATTCCAATGTTATTTGAGAGGAATGACAATTGGACAAACGAAGAAAGGGAGAAAATTGTACTAGATTCCTTCTTTTTTTTTCTGGTGAAGCAATTGGGGTTAAGTGACTTGCCCAGAGTCACATAGCCAGTAAGTGTCATGTGTATGAGGCTGGAATAGAACTCAACTCCTCCTGACTCCAAGGCTGGTGCTCTATCTACTGCACCAACTAGCTGGGCCCTGTACTAGATTCTAAGAGGTTTCAAGCTGCTGGCTTCTTTTTCAGATGGTTTTTTTTCAATAACTCAAGTTATCATGTCTAACACCTTTCTTAGACCTTGACTACTCTGATCTGCAATGCAGATATTCTTAGTAACTTGTTTAATTTATTAACATATTCCCAAAAATTAGGAGCTAACGAAACCAGAATCAGGTTAGAAGTACATTCCATAACACAGAATGAATGATAGTCATCAGTTACAACAAGGAAACAACAACAACAACAAAAACCACCCTTTCTTTTGGGAATTTAAGTCTTTTCTTGCAATATAGTTACTGATTATGTACCACAAAAATGTTCCAATAACTTATAAACAAAAAAAATCTTTGCTATGCAAAATTAAGATAAGTAGTTAAAATGCTACATTCAAAACGTAGTTCAGGACTATATAAGAATTAAAAATAGACATGGGTTACTACCATCAAACAACATTCTAAGACTGTAAGTTAAAAACAATTTGCTGATCTGTAACTGTAGAAGGAGTTTCCATACCAAGAGTTTCCTATGTAGACAAGATCACAAATATGGACCAAAAATGTGTTATTGTAATCCTATTTTACAAACATTTGATTTCCTAATATTATCAGTTTGTTTTTGAAAAAGGAAAATTCATTTTTTCACAAATCTTGTTAAAGAATATTTTAACTGTCCAAATCTTCTAGAACATCTTAGATCATCAGTTGCTGGAATTTAACCACCAAAATTATGTCTTCTTAAATGCCTACCTGCGCATTGGCTTTCCGTCCATGCACCATGAAGAGAATCCTTCTCTCCAAATTTTAAAGCTCAATCTAAAAAAACAGAAAAGCATCAACCTTAAAGAAAGTTGTCACCATTCTTACTGCCAATATTAGTCCTAAAAAATAAATCCATTCATTTTCTAGGTTCATGGAAGATGAATTTTAAGAATTACAGTATTCTACAATTCAAAAGTTTGACACTTGTTTCTGTGGGCTACAAAATAATGACTTTAACTATAAGGTAACTACCAACTAGAACCCTGGATAAACTGGATTATCCATTATTTCATTACCTTAAAGGAAAATAAGGTGATAGCTAGGCTACCAGAGTAATCTTGCCTTTCTTTAACACCACTGTCACTTAATTTAGTGAGCATTCACAGAGTACATGGCACTGCCTGGAACTTAGTATTACTTAGAATGAGAGGTTGAACAGAAAAGGCCTTCCTTGTTCAACATTTCATCTGAAGGCTTTTAATATGCATTATTGTGAACAGAATCCAAACAAAAATTTGACTTTAAACACATCTCTCTCTCTCTCTCTCATACACATACACACAGAGCCCTTTTGTTCCTGAGGTCCACATCTGAGGGACAAGCAAAACATAATTAAAAAAAACCTTTTTCTTATATGCTCAATAAATGAAGAAGCATTAAGAGCTAGCACTATGTGCTGGTTGATAAGGACACCAAACCAAAAATAAATAGCCTCAAGGAACTTAATATTTTATGGGGGTAGACAAAAGTTACAGGTAAAAGGACAGGGACTGGACCTGTGAATTTTTTGGTATAGGGAACTCTCAAGTGAAGAACCTCCCTCTATCAATGTAGGCTAGTGCTTTCTCTTAAGTTCTAGTCTTAAAGAGTTGCCTAAAACACTGAGAGGTTAAGCGATTTGTCCAAAGTCTGAGGTGTTACTTGAGCCCAGGTATTCCTGTTTATTAAGCCTGTTCTCTATCCATTATGTTAGGCTGTCTCTCTCTATATTTTATGCGACATACATGAGTACAAATATACTCAATAGTTGCTAACATTTATATAGTACTCACATGTGCTGAGCACTTGCTAAAGGCTTTACAATTATTATCTTATTTGATACAACAACCCTAGGAGGGAAGTGCTATTATTATGGTCATTATCATTAACTCTTATTATTCCCATTATATATATGGGGAAACTGAGGCAAAGAGAGGTTTAGTGGCTTGCCCAGAGTCACAGTTTATAAGTGTCTGTGGCTTGATTTGAACTCAGGGCTTCCTGACTTCAGGCCTGGCACTCCTTCCACTTCACCACCTAGCTCCTTCTACATAGGTAAGTAACATGAGCACACATGCACTCACGTATATACATAAGTGTATTTGTATACACGCACAATGATATATACAAAATAAATACCAAGTAATTTTTTGGGAAGAAGGGGCGTTTGAGGGGTTAGGAAAGGCCTCGCTGGGAGACGGCAGAAGGATCGAAGGGGAGGGGGCGAGCATTCCACCCTGCTCGTGCCAAAACGGGGAGGGAGGAAACGGAACGTCCTCAGTGGGGTCCAGCAAGGCCAGTTTAACTGGACGTCAGGAAGGGAGAAGGGGAATCATGGAGAACAAGCCTGGGAAGGTAGGCTGGGCAGAGGGGTCTCTCCGGTTCGCGGGCGGTGGGCCCCGTAGGCCCTCGACGTCCTAAGGGCATCGGCGCGGTCTGGGAGCGCCAGTGGAGGAGTTCTGGTCCATGCCCATCACTTAGCGGCTGAGAAAGCCGAGGCCTGGACACAATTAGGTGAGTCGCCCAAGGTCACATGGGCAGCAGGAGCGGGATCTGAAGCCGGGTCCTCGGACCCCGCAGGGCCAGGTTGCCTTTCACAGGCCACTCTGGCCCCCAAGCGCCGGGGACAACTTCCGGGTCCTAGATTTAGCGCCGGGAGTTTCCCGGGGGTCCTACCCATTCGTTTTGCGCTCGAGAAGAAGGGCCCCGACTGGAGAAATGACTCATCCAAGGTCACCCGGGAGGCGGCAGGTGCGGGGTCTAAACCCGTGGCGGGGAGCAGAGCCAGCGCGCTCCTTCCGGGAGCCTGTGCCCCCGCTGCCCGCGCGTCTCCTCCGGGGCTTGTCAGCAGACCAAAGCACCGCCCCGGCCCGGGCCCCGACCGAGGAGACCCCGCCGACCACCCGCGGAGGGGGAGGGGACGGCGGGGGAGCGATGACAGGAGAAGGGCGAAGGTGCCCGCACCCGCCGACAGCCCAGCGCCGGACCCACCCTGTGGGCGCTGCCCGCGGGCGGGCTCCCTCCCCGGCCCCCGGCTCCCGGCTCCCTCCCGCAGGATTCTTCACTCACCCAGCCACGCACCCGCCCGGCAGCCACCGCTGCAGCCGTAGCCGCCTCCTCAGCAGCAGGATCCAAACCCCTCAGAGCCACTTCCTGCTCGTCTCTGTCCAGCGGCAGGAAGTGGTCCGGTTCCAAGAGAGCGTCGAGAGGAAACTCGCGCTCCCGAGAATGGTTCCGGGAGGCTCTAGTGGGGGCGGGGAAAAGAAAGGGCCTCTGGGTCTGGTCCCAGAGTGAGCGCACAGGGCTTTCTGCAGAGGGCGCTCGATTGGAGAGCAAAGCCTTGGGAGGCATATATTAAGCGCCTACTGTGGGCCAGGCCCTGTGTTAAGCGCTGGGGTTACCAAGAAAGGCCAAAGGCGGCCCCTGCCCTCAAGGAGCTCACAATGCGCAAACGACAGCGTCCAAGCTATCTTCCCTCCCCATGCAGAGATACCTTGGAAGAGGGGTTAACGGAGGAGTTGCATATACTGATTTATTTGTGACTTGTTCACCTTGGGGAAGGCTGCCTACCTGCTCAATATCCCAGGACTTGTAGTCCTAGAAAGAGCCCTGGAGATCTAAGTTCAATAAAATTGAATTCAATTGATTGATTGGATTCGACTCAACCCGATTGATTGGTTGAATTAAATTTATTTGAATTTAATTGAATTGATTTGACTGAATTCAGTTAAATTCAAAAAGCTTTTATTAAGGATTGCATAGTGGATAGAGACCTCTCTGGGAGTCTGGAAGACCTAGGTTCAAGATCTGTATGATGGTGGGCAAGTCCCTTAACCTCTCAATGTTCCTCTAAGGATATCAAAGTCGCAAAGCAATTGCTGATTTTCATTGGTACAGCAAGCTTCCTTTGAGGCAGCACGGCATGGTGGATAGAGAGCCAGGCAGGGAAGCAGCTGTCAAATTCTACCTCGGATGCCTACAAATTAAGCAGGTGACCCTGGGTAAGTCAGTCTCCCTGTGCCTTAGTTTCTCCCCCTAGAAAATGGAGGGGGACTCTGACGTCTGAGGTCTCTTCCAGGTCTGAATTTATAATCCTATGAGCCAGTGGAAATCATAAGTTGAGGGAATGTAATAACCAAGCCTTGTGGATGCTAACACCCAAATGAAAACTGTCCCTGCTCTCAGGAGGTTGCATGCTCTGGGAGGGTTGGGGGGGGGTGTAGTGGGGTGAGGAGAACATGTGTGTAGTCAAACTTGATATACAAGGTGATAGATGGGGAAAGGCACTGGCAGCAGGAGCTGGGGCTGATTAGGAAAGACTTTAAATGCCAGAATGAGAAGTAGGAATTTTGTCCTAGTGCCCATAAAAGTTCTTAACCAGGGAAGTGATGTGGTCAGACTTATGCTTTAAAAATATCAATTTGAATGTGATAGAAGATATATTGGAAACGGGAGAGACTGGAGACAGGGAGATTGATTTGGAGATTATTACAATAGTCTAGACTATTGTCTAGATAATAGTCCAGATAATGACATTGTATGGAATGGAGAGAAGGGGATGGATTTAGTAGAGATGTTGAACTGTCAAGACTTGGCAAGGTAAGAAGAGAGGGAAGAATTGGGCATGACTATGTGGACGTGAAGTTAGGTGACCACAAGGATGATGGTACACAACAAAAATAGGAAAGATTGGACGAGGGATGAGTTTTTGGGGGGCAGGGAAAGTAGATAATGAATTATGTTTTGGACATACTGAGCTTAACATTCCCATAGAACATCCAGATGAAGATTATCCAGGAGATGATCTCTTTTACCTGCTGACAATATATCTGGGTACTGGTTTACTCACCATTCACTAATGTTGTGCTCCATCTCCTTCTTAACTACCTTCATTGACTTGTTCTTAGTGCAGAAATGCTGGCTTCTAGCAGTCACATTTTAAAATGAATGTGCAGACTATAATAACAACAGACATGCATTTAACCCTTAAACAACTACCTAAGATAGATCATGCAAGTGTTATCCCCATTTTACAGATGAGGAAACTGGAGCTCCCAGAGGTAAAGTGACTTTCCTGTGGCCACACAGCTAGTAAATGTGAGAGGCAGGATTCAAACCCAAGTCTTCTGACTCCTACTTGACCAACTAACTATCCGTCACTCGGTGGTATCAAATTCAAATCAAAATGGGGCCCCTCAGCCATACCTAAGGATCTTTGCTGCTACATACAGGATTAGTTAAAAAAATTTTTTTAATATTTTCTATGTGCTATTATATTTGTATTTATTTTGTTAAATATTTCCCATTTACATTTTAACCTGGTTTAGTCTGCACTCTAGAATGTAGTTCTGTGTGTTTGACGCCTCTGTGCTGTTTCACACTGCTCCTCTGTGATGATGTGTTGGTGTGGGCCTTGTTCTTCAGGAATACATTTCAGGGAGACTATTGTCGATCAGTCAACAAGCATTTACTAAGAGCCTGCTGTGTGCCAGGCACCGTGCACAGTGCTGGAGATACAAAGAAAGACAAAAGACCATCCCAGCTCTCCCGGAGCCCAGACTGATGGGGGAGAAAACATGCCAACCACTATGTACAGACAAGATGTAGGCAGGACAAATTGGGGATAATTGACAGAAAGTGACACTAGCCTTTGATCTCATCACTGCTGCAATCTCTAGGATGTACTATTATTATAATTTTTGTAAAACAAAAGCATCTGGGTATTGTTAACTGGTAAACCTTCTGGATATACTGCTCTCCTCCTGATTCTGCACCTTTCTTCTTGCTACTCTCTGCACTGGGGATAGTTCTCCCAGCTCTCTCCTCTCCCTTCCTTCTGGGATGGAAAGAGTACAGTAGAGGGGAAGAGCATGGGTTTGAAAGCAGAAGATCTAGGTTCCTCGCTCAGTTCTATTTTATACTAGTTGATTTGGGGTAAGCTATTTCCTGTTCTTTGAGCCTCATTTTCCTCATCTGCAAAATCGAAAATTTGATGACCTCACCCTAAATCCCACAGTGGATTGGAGTAGATGACCTCTGGGGTCCCTTCCACCTCTAAATCCAGGACCCTAGAGTCCTACTTCCTAAAAGCCTTCACTTGATGGAATGGTAGTGAAGCAGGCATTTTATTCCACCCTCAAAACCCCAGTCTCTGAATAGATTATTAACATTTACTTATTTGGGAGCTGGGCACTTGCTACTTCATCGACTCTCACGGGCTTCTCAGTAGTCTTTTTTTCTGTTGTCAGCTTGGGATTTTAAATCTCTAAAAGTCAGGCATAGTATCTCAGAGTTTGTGTCCCAGAGTGGCCGAGGTAGTCCTGGACAACAAGACCACTTTTACCAAATGGCTCCTCGATGGTGACAGAATAAATCACGGCAGAATTCCCGTGCAGCAGAAGGATCAAGTTAAGTGTCCCCTTCTCGCCTCTTGCGGGCTTTACAAATCATCGTCAGAAGCCCTTCCTCTCAGAGAGCAACAGCTAAGCCTGGGGAAGGCTGGGACCCAGCGTGGGCAGTGTTTTTAACGTTAAAATCCTTGCCTTCTGGAGAAGGCAGAAGGCTTATGTGGTGAGGGCTAAAGGTTAGGGCCCAGAAACGGGTCTGAGGACAGAGAGAGAGAGAGGGAACCTGGCTCTTGGCCTGCCTTCAGCCGCTGTATGCCTGCGTTGCTCGGGCTGCAGGGGGATGGGCTGCAAGACGCTGAACCTCCCCCTCCCCCTTTCCTACCAGCTGTACTCTCTCCACAGCTGCCCAGTGCAGGCCGAGGCAGCAATTACCATGGTAACGGGGGAAGCCCAGAGATCAGTAAGAGAAGAGGGGAGAGGGGCTGGGGAAGGGTGGGTTGGGGCTGTGTGCAGTTTGGCTGGGGATAATTGGGTGGTGGCAAGGTGTTGAGAAGCAGAGCGCCGGGCAGCTCCAACACCAGCCTTTGTGAAGGGCAGCCATTCTGATTCTCTTACTGGCACCTGATCTGTGTGTGTGTGTGTGTGTGTGTGTGTGTGTGTGTGTGTGTGTGTGTGTGTGTATGTGTTACAATCAGGGACATCACAGGAGGTTCCTGGCACCTGATTGTGTGTGTGTGTGTGTGTGTGTGTGTGTGTGTGTTACAATCAGGGACATCACAGGGGTTCCTGGCACCTGATTGTGTGTGTGTGTGTGTGTGTTACAATCAGGGATGTCACAGGGCTTCTCCTCTCCCTGCCCTTCCCGCAATGGCATACGGTGATGCCCTGTTTCTCAAGGAAGTCTCTCTGAATCCACATCTCAATACCTCTCTCTTCCTCCTGTCTTTCTGATCTTGGCAGGCCAGACATCTACTTGTGTTCTGTTGCTTTCTGCGCAGAGCCCATGATGTCTTGGGAAGTGTTCTCAGGGATTTCCCACCAAAGCAACAACAGTAACAAATCCGCTTTCTGCTATCTGCTACTGGAGTTGTGCTAAAGATGCCTTGAGTGCAGAAAATAAGGTGGCATCCCAACCCAGTTACAAAAGCAGTTCTTTTGATCGCCTGTGCAATAGTCTACACAACATTATATAAAAGGACTAATAGTAGGTAGAAACTAATACTGTCTTAGGACCATTTCTATCTGAACTCCATTGAAAAAGATGAGAATTAGAATAATAATGATGATGATACCCCTGACATTTATAAAACGTTTTACTTTCCAAAATACTTTATGTACATGATCTCAGTTAATTGCCCACAATCCACAAACATAGGCAGGATAGGTATTCCCCTTTTGAGGGATGAGGGAATTGAGGTACAGAGAAGTTAAATGATTTGTTCATGGTCACAGCTAATTAGTGGCAAGCAGCAGGTCTAGAACATAGGCCTTCTTATAAATAATCGTTTTCCTTCTAGTTATACCACATTACGATTGCATAGTTCCATAGTATCCTCAGGTTATGTGTTTTAGCCTGAGTTGATGGTGATTGTTATATAATTGAAGGATAAAAGATGCAAAAGACAGAGAGAGATCAGTGGCTATTGCAGACTGTTTAATGGAATGCCTTCATCTTGGTAGTGTCAGCAGGGGTCCCAGGGTTTGGTCTTCAGGTTTACAGGTTTAGAAATTTTGTTTTATCTTTTCACCTAGGAATGAGTATGACCTGAAGGGGATTGATTCACACTAAGTAATTTTTAAAAAGACAGTTTTATAAGCCAGAAAGGCAGTTTATTAATTCATACTGACAAATTGCTGAATAGACCAGAATATTGTTATCATCTTGTCAATACATTCTCTCTCCGACAAGAAAGTTTTTTTGGTAAGCAAAGTTACTATCACAGGGTCGCTTGGTGATTATAGTTATGACAAAAGAAGTGGATTGATCTAGATATCATCTTTAAGTTATAATAGCTTGCTGTATTCTTGACTGTAAGTCTTTATCTGCCAGGCAGACAGGGATATTCAAATTTGACCCTTCTAAACAATGCTAGGGAAACATGTACATTTTTGATACATCTTTTTCTAAACTAGTCCTTGCAGAGAAATGCTTATTTTAATAATTTAGTGGAGGCTTAATTTCAACATTGTGGGCATTTCGAGTATCTTTTCAGATCGCAACCCATCTATAGCTCATCCCAAGTCATTCTTGACCATATTCTCCAATAAATTCTCTGGAGAGGATCTATCTAATGAGCTGGGGTTGGGGCTGGGGAGTTGTGTGCAAACCTTCATAGGATCATAGACTCATAAAAGGAGCCTCTGAAGTCAACTAACTTATTTTACAAATGAGGAAACTGAGGCCTAGAAAGGTTCGGCAGTTTGACCCGGGTCATATAAGTAATAGAAAGTAACAGACCTAGGATATGAACCTATGTACTCTGACCTAAACCAGGCACTCTTTCTACTATGCCATGCTGACGAGACAAATTTCATGGACATCCGTGCAGCATCTGGATTGTCCATTTTTATCCTTTGTTCTTCTTCTATGACCAGCCCCCTGCTTTGGTTCTCCTCCCACCAATCTGACTAGTCCCTCTCAGTCTCTTTCGCTTGCTCACCATCCATAACTCATCCCCTAACTTTAGATGTACCCCAAAGCTCTATCCTCATCAGATCCCATGGGTTTAATTATTTCTCTACACAGAATACTTACAAATCTCAAAAGGTAGCCATAGTTTCTATCCATAACCCAGTCCTCCATCACTAACTACTGTTCCTTTTGGTCCTTTTGAACTGCAAGTCCCTAAGACATCTCAAACTCAACATGTCCCAACCAGAACTCATCATGTTTCTTCCCAAATCCTCTCTTCTACTGAACTTCCCTATTTCTGTCTAGACCACCAACATTCTTCTAGTCTTCCAGGTTTGTGACTTTGGTGTTATCTTTGACTCTTCACTCTTCTTTACTCCACATTAATTGGTTGCCAAACCTTGCTCTTTTTTCCCCCTCCGTCTTTTGTACCACATCTGTTCTCTCTACTCACAATGCCAACAATTTCTCATCATCCCAGATCTAGACTACCAAGACAGTCTTCTCAATGGTGTCCCTGCCTCATCTTTCCCCACGCTAATCCATCCTCACAGCTGTGAAAGTGATTTCCTGTAAGTGCAGATCTCAACATATCACTCCCCTGCTCAACAAACTTCCTTGGTACTCCATTGTCTTTTGGATCAAATATAAAACCCTCCATTTTTCTTTTAAAGACCTTTACCACTCAGCCTGAGGACAGCTAGGTGGTACCATAGTGCACAGAGTGCTAGGCCTGGAGTCAGAGTGTGAATGTGGCCTTAGCCGCTTAGTAGCTGTGTGACCCTGGGCAAGTCACTTTACTCTGCCTCAGTTCCTCAACTGTAAAATTAGCTGGAGAAGGAAATGGCAAACCACTCCAGTATCTTTGCCAAGAAAACCCCAAATGGGGTCACAAAGAGTTGGGCATGACTGAAACAACTCAACAATAACAAACCATGTGTCCCTGACCTATCTTTCCATCAGTCTCTTTATATATTACTCCTCTTTCTACATTTTTTGTTCCAGCTACACTGACTTTCTGTTTTTCACACAACGCACTCCCCCTCCCATCTCTGTGACTTTGCACCATCTCCAGTGTCTGCAATGCCCTCTGGCTTTACCTTAATTTCTTTGTATGCCTGTATTTCTTTAAAATGTAGCTCAGGCACATCCTTCTACTGGAAGCTTTTCTGGTTCCCACCCAACTGCCAACGTGCTCCTTCTCTGCCTTGTATTTATTTTCTGTTTATTCTGTACAAATGAATAAATGCTGGCTCTGTGAGTCTAGACAAGTCACTTAGTGCTCTAGGAAATGTTAACATGATTATACATTGAAGAGAATGTGCTGACCTATACTGGCAGAGGAAGTGCCTCCTTGGATACTCCTTACATCTATGAAATCTCAAGGCCAGGCCCTATGTATATTTTAGATATACTCATATATGTACATGTTTCTTTCCCTGATAGATTATCAGCTTGTAGGTACTGTTTTATTCTTTTATCTTTGTATCCCAATGCTTAGCTGCTTGAGGATAAAGGTTGTCTCCTTTTATTTTTGTATAACCAGTGCTCAGCACAGTGCCTGGCATTTAACAGATTTAATAAATGCTCGCTGATTAATTGACTGCCATGTGGAGGAAGGGAAAACTGTGTAGCCTCTCTCTGTCTCTGTCTCTCTGTTTCTCTCTGTCCCTCTCCCCACTTCACTCTCTCTCATTCAGCTACCCTCTCATCCCACAGTCCTCACAAATCTATAGCACAACTACCAGGATTCCAGTTTGTCTGACTAGCCAACGTCCTCCAATATTTTGATGCCATCTGCCTGGTATAAGGTGAGGGCAGAAATATCTGTTGAGTCTTTCTTTCCTGATTGCTACCATTTTCCCACTTTTTCCATACAAGACCCAGTCATCACCACATATAGTCTATGGAGGGCAGAATCTTTATTCTGCTTAGTTATTTAAATGGAAAAGGGCAGACATTTCTTGATACCGGGAATATATTTCTTCCATTTAGACTCTATGCAGGACATTCTCCATGATAATGGCAAATGCCTGCAGTCTCCCTGTTTTATGCTTCAGTTGATATTGATAATTAGTGACTCATCAAATAAAGCTATCTCTGTGGTAGCATCTGTTAAGGAGTTTTGTATAATGTTCACTTATATGGAAGGGAAGCACCTGATTGACACCTTTAAGGCTGCATTTTGCCCCACTGAGTCAGTTTTATTTGTTTTGTAATTAAGAAACAAACACAGTGAGATCTTACTTGTATCTTCCATATCTTTCTGGCAATTGTGTGGCTGTGAAGACTTGCTTTGCTCAGCTGTAGAAAATCATTTAGGAAACCCTGCCTATTGTCCTTTCACATTATAAGCAAGGATAACTTCAATACACAGGCAGACCATTCTTAGAGATTTTATAAAGATGAGAAAGTAGGCATATAGATTGGTAGTGACTGATGTCTTTTCAATTACTTTTTTTTTTGGTAACAATATTTCCTGTGATTTTTTTCTATTATTTTTGAATCTTTCTCTTGAAAGATCTTGTCTTAAAAAATCTTTCCCTGAGTATCTTTAAAGTTCTCTATGTTTTTCTGTATGTCTGTGTTCTGGTTCAGCAGCTTTTGCAAACTTTTTCTTCTTAAATGCCATTACACTTACTCATATAGCAATTAAGTATTGAATTTTTAGAGTTCTGATGACTGGTTTTATTATTATCAATAATGAGAATAAGTTGCTATAGAAATATTGGCAGATTCATTTCATTTTGTAGCTATTTGTTGTCCTCTTTGCAATTTTATCTACTCTCTATATGTTTTTGAGATTATCTGGCTTAGTTGGGTCTCAT